AAGAACTTTTGCCAATACCGAATGGAANAAGATTATTCGAGAGACACTTTATTTAGAGACTATTTACATTCCTTTGGACGCTACTTCTCANAGTCCNGATATTATATTCAAATTACAATCTCCTGTGGAACCCAAAGTTCTTACTGTTGGAGTTGCATGNAAAGGACGTTGGAGGTCGGAAGGAATTGGCTGGTCAGATATTATAGANGAAGTCAAGAAATTTTTAGATCCTGTTTANGATCTAGTCTTATCCAGTGCAATGGATTCCCATCATTGTATGCTTATTATCGTNAGTACAAAGTTATCATTCAATGTTTCNAANGAGTTGGGNAATCAGAGTCGTTGTTATTCCAGTGGAATGTTTATNAGAGGNGATTTGTTCAAAGTACCNGANAATTGNGAACTTGTTATTCTTTGNGAAAGAGATGTGGAAATGCTTATNGACGAAGAAATATTGAATGGACTNGAAAAAGCATTTGGTGTTTCTCANAATCCTACTTTTTTGAACTTCGGACTCCAACTGCTTCANAAAGTCCGNAACAGTTTCTTAAGTTGGCAATAGACTTTCAACTCTTGACTTTGTGGTTTCTTTTTAAGAGCAAGTAAACTTTTTTTGTATGTTTGAAACTTGATTACGACCTACGTGCTTTTACTCTGAGGAGAATTGTCTTGAAGTACCAAGCCCGAAAATCAAAATAAGCCCATTGTTGCAAAAGTCGCCATCACAGTTTGACAAGTCATATTCCCTTCATGTTACTACTGAGGGGAGTGTCCTAAAGTGTTCACGAACTGGTTTTACATAAAGTCTTCCACTCATCAAAGAAATTATTTTGTGGTTCGCCTTATGTTGAAAGTTCCCATTTGATTATTCTCGAATAAGTTATTTTTATATACAATTGCAAACAAAACAAAATCTCCTCTTTATTACAAAGGAAATAAAAAGGTAATATATATATATATATATATATATATATACCGGGGGCTGTACTGCATACTAAATACAAGGCGAATCATATTCTTACCAATACTTGTTCTAATACATCAAATCTTTGAAGAATCAAAAGACTTCCGATGCAGTAAGTTCGAGCATTCGGCTGTAGAAGATTGGTTAGTCATTGTTGTATTTCATTGTCACTCAGTTTACTTTACAGTTCATAATATGTCTAGTGAGCTTCGTCCAAAAAACGTATATGACATGTTTGTAATAGATCGAGAACATGATGTTCGTGGCGTAACAATGCAGTTATTTAGGCTATACAATCTCCATAAACTTGGTTAAACTTGGTCGCACCTTCAAACCAGTGATACCTTTTGGCCCTCAACTTTTCGGAAGTGGGAAACAAAATTCATACAAAATTACTTGAAACTGCTGACATTTTTTTGCAATAAACAGTCAAGTGTTTCTTTCCAAACAAAATTCCAGCATAATAAATAAGAGAAAACAAACAATGACAATTCTTGTGTCACATCAACAAGCAGTCAAACAATATCAACTTGTGGTATCAAGACTATGCCATACCCTTCAGGCTAAGGCTCGGAGTGGTCAATTCAGAAAATACCTTCATTCGCAACGGCATAATATGACTCAAGTAATGAGTAACAACAATGTAGCTACACTTAAGGACATATTATTTCCACTAGATAAGGAATATCCACTCTGTTATTGCAGAAATGCGTCATTTACATCTGTCTTGAATCGTCAGACAATCCAAATAACGTTAAAGTTGAGAATGGACCAAATCCAAAACTTGAGATAATCATCGTCAAGCAGTGGGTACTTCTGCAGTGAGCAGACAATTTTAACGTGTGCAATCGAAATAGTTTCAATTTTTTTATTGTAAGTTTGGCATGCTATCAGTAGAGCAATTTTAGAGCCTTCGTGAATGAGAGTAGTTCAGGGAATGTGAAAAATTTTAAGAGGAAATCATTTATGAGAATTGAAAAGTTCTTCCACATTCAAAGTGGATGCAAAAAAAGATGAAAGCAATCATTCAGTTGAAATTGCAACAAAGAACTTAATTTGTAAGAGGTTATCTGAATTGATTATCATTGAACCATCTACTTTGTTTTTCTTCCACATCTTTTGTGTACTTTTGGAACGTTACGTCTATAGAACAAACAAAGCATCGTGAGCTTCTCTATCAAACCAACATTCTTCAAATAGAACTGCATTGGAAATGAAAGTGCAGTCAAAAATCTTTCTTTAAGCTCGCATAAAATAGAATCCAAGTCTTCTTGATCAGGACATAGAATTATTGCTAAAAAGTATGTCTTTATTTCGTATTCAATTCAACAGTAGCTGCCTGGCTAAGGACGAGGCCCAAAAACAACCCAATAGTGTGATAAAAGCCACTTTGATACGTTTCAAGTAAGCAAAGTGCAGTTGCATGTGTTTCCTTCTACCTTTGGAATATCAAAAGTGTTATTGAGTGTTCCAAGCTTTGTGTATCTTTTCATGTTGTCTGCAAGCTCTTCGCTACTTAAAATACCAGGAAAGTGCCAGATAAAGTCTCCGTCTTCAAATTTGGCTCCACAAGATGCGTCTTGGTATGACTGAAGCACACCAGGAGGAATCAGTTTAACTCTTCTGGCAACGTTCCTATCACGACCAATAGCCAGCCACAAAGCAGTTTGTTCTTGAAAATATTTTTGCTTATATTTTGTAAAAGTCCAGAGACTCCTTAAGAGACGATAATTGCTATCGGTTCCACGAAACATCTCCACACCAGTATTGATTCCATTGCAGTCAATAGGAAGTACGATATCAAAGTTTTCATCGAGGAAAAATTCTTCCATCTTAGTGTTGACATTTGTAATAATAAGATCGATATCCAAATAGATAGTCCATTGATAGTTTCTACCCATAACGTCTTCCAGAGCCATAAGCTTACCCCATATAGGATGCCACTTTTCCTTTACAGAGCAATTGCATACGAAAAAATCATAACGATGAAGTTGAGCATAGGTTAGTTTGTTTTCAAGAGAAAGCTGAAAGACTTCTGAACTATACTTTCCTCCAGAGTTCGATATTGCTGATACCAAAGCAACCCTAGTCGAGTTGTGTGGATCATGAAAGTCGTTGAACGCTTTGGAAACTGGATAAAAGAATTTTACGCTATGTACAATTGCAATTATACAAAGAAAGGTTGCTAGACTCCACAACCATCCAGAGGAATGGAACGGCCGCCTCATAGGAAATTGTAGGTGACACTAAAGAATGGGGCATCACTTGGACATTCGTACAGAATGTCCTCAGTACTGCTCAAAGGAGAAAACAAGATCTACAACTCAAACGACACAAATCTTTGTAAATTACTTGTAAGGTATGACTACACTAAGCTCGAGACGACTGCTAACATTACAATACTATCATTTTGAAAAATTTAAAATAATGACTCTTTTCTAGCATTGTGAACATTCTTACCATATCTTACGGCAAACTTTACATTATGGAATTCTTTCAGATGCATCAAAACAAGTAGTGGATCAGGAATATATAGAATTTCTTTCATTAAACTCCGTACGATGTTTTCTATTATTACAAGTTACGAAGAACGGTCAAGGAAACTTGGAAATAGCGCCTAAAGGCTATGGTCTTGATCAAACCAAATTTCATTATTATCTTCTAGTAAGTAAAAGCCATAAATCTTGGAGTTTTAAGGTCAACTGTTGGTTGTTATTGGCATATTGTCAACTATCAATGCATATTACCGATTGATTATATTGAAAAGCTCGTTTCTGAGCGATAATACTTTTCGAATCTTATCGTCAAAAAGCTAAAGACACGAGTTCCATTCAGTTGATTGCAAAGATTTCAAAAAAAATTCGATGGTATGGGAGCTGTCAACTATCTTCTGCAATAACTTCAGAAAAATTACTTGTTTTCAAGGACCGACGAACTTAGCCTCTCAAGTGACTTTACAAAATAAGTTAGCGAATTTAACGAGAAACGGTTTAAGGAGTATGTTCCAATGTATAAACCTTTCCGGTATTTTCAGCCCTCTACGTACTTTGTTGGTTACAGGAAAGTTTGATGACAGCGCCTGAACCATCGTCATTTTCAACCGGACTGATGGTGACGAATCGCTATGTTCTGTCTCCTTTCACTGGAAATATAGTATCTTGTATGGCTAGTTTGAGTTTTATTAAAGACAATATTTCACTTGGAGACATATAAAAGCCTGCGACAATAAATGGCCTAGATACTATCAATGTCACACCGTAGTAATGCTGGAAAAGGAGAAAGACAAAGCTGTGGGAAAGTTCCTGCTAACTCAGTAGCGACACTGAAGCCTTTCGAAAGATTGACAGCATTGCAAAGCCCACCAAAAGTTTTCTCATCTTCCAGTATTAGCAAAGATTAGGTTGCCAATGTAAACCAATGCGCTGAATACTGCTGCTACATCAATATCAAAAAAACCATTTCTTTTTTTGAATTCATTTGCAAATTGGTATGTCCTCAAA